CACCTCAATCCAAATGCTTCCATCAGTCTTTTTAGGACCATTCCTTGACTCTACTTGAGTCATCCAGTAATTTTGGACTTGGTTAATCCACAGACCCGTAAGGTCCCACTTGTGAGGCACTAGTTCACTGGAATACACTTCTTGCATTCCTGTCCTACTCAAAAGGACTATTTTCACAAGTGTTACTCTGACACTTGATTTTGTTCTCTGGGGCAACCTTTGCCCCTTAGGACTACTTGTCCATGTGATGAGAATACCACTCATCTCTAAATACACCCCCCAACTCCTTGGGTTGTTCCAGCATTTATTAAAGGTAGCCCCGGCTACCATTTCAAGGACTTGAGTCCTCTTCTGTATTTGACCTCCCACGGTCATTACTTCTGGTCTCACATTCATGAGCACCAACCTCAACTATATGAGGATAATCTTGTGACTCCTTTATTGCTTTGGAGTCTTTATCTTTCCCGTGATCCCAACTGTAGTTGTTTACCACAACTACATTAGCCAGTTTGCTAAGTCAAACGCTCATCTGGGTCACATCCTCAACTCTTTGAGGAAAACCATATACTGTTCCCAAGATCCCAAAGTCGTTCCCTTACTGGCCCCTTTTCTATCCACCACATCGCGCCCAAGTTCATGCATGAACTCGAGTGGAGAGCCATGTCCTCTCGACGTGCTACTCCTCAAGGATAGGACCACTCCTAGGACCTTCCGATGCCAATATCAATGGTGATATACTTGAGCACCAATAAAAGTCGGACTAAGGAACAGCTCCGATACCAAATTGTAAGCGACATAATTTTTCCATTTTACTTTAGTCACTTAACCACACCTCCGACCACTTGGAGGAGTCTCATTCACCACCTCCATAAGTCCAATTCAGGACTTAGGACTTGCTAGCCCCGAGAATGGCATCTATGCCACTCAACACTTGCACCTGGTCCAAGTGCTCCACGTGTCCGATCCCATGACCGACACACAAAGGTACCACCGTCAGGGCAGCCTGTTACGCTAGGGCCATGCCCAATCACCTTTGCCACACTGGTAGTCTAATACCACTTGCATCACAGTCTTGGCTCTCCAAGACTAGGCAAACCATCCGTGAGTGGTCATCTCAGATCCACTCTTTAGCATCCTTAGGATGCCCACCGACAAGGGGAATAGCCTTCCCCAATATCCCTCTGTCAGTCTCCACTAAGTCCCTTTCTGCCCCTGACCGTGTTTGCCAACACTGCCACTGGATCGAGGCCCACAGGCCCGACCACTAAGTCCCACGGTCCTCTGGGACTTCCTCACCACACAACTGTGTCCTTGGTCACTACCCCAGAGGACTGCTCCTCTTCCTTTCCACAGTCTGGGCTTTTGGGACAACATTTTGGAACACCGTGGCCTTACGTGAGCCACCTGGGTACTCTCCCCGCCTTCCGCCCTTGGGTGCTTTAGCCATGGGCTTAGAGCGAGGTTCCGTTGAGCCACGCCTGGTATCCAAGTAGGTAGTGCCACCCACACTTGGACTGGGAGCATCGGCCAGTCGATCTCCCGGGGGAATTAGAGCCGGCTCTTGAACACTTCACCAAGCTACCCCACTTGTCGGTCCGTGTTCACTCTAGTCTTGGATTTCCCAGTGGTCAGCTCATCACCCAACACTGGGTCTGGCCTTCCTGGCCCAAACTGGCCTTTCCTAGCCAAACTGGCTCCACTGGGCTCCAACCCCCACACTCTCCCTACTATACTTTTGGAACCCCCCGCAGCCCCCCCCCCCCGGGGGACGATTGCTTTGGGCTTTCACCCAACTGCCTGTATTAGTATTCGGACTCGGACTCAGGCTCGAACTCGGACTCGGACTCGGTCTCGGTCCCGGTTTCGGACTCGGACTCGGTCTCGGTCTCGGCTTCGGCCTCGGTCTCGGTCTTGGTCTCGAGTCCATCTCGGACTCCATCTCGGACTCCATCTCGGGTCCATCTCGGACTCCATCTCGGATCCATCTCGGACTCCATCTCGGGTCCATCTCGGACTCCATCTCGGACTCCATCTCGGGTCCATCTCGGGTCCATCTCGGACTCCATCTCGGGTCCATCTCGGACTCCATCTCGGATCCATCTCGAGTCCATCTCAGACTCCATCTCGGGTCCATCTCGGACTCCATCTCGGACTCCATCTCGGGTCCATGTCGGACTCCATCTCGGGTCCATCTCGGACTCCATCTCGGACTCCATCTCGGGTCCATCTCGGACTCCACTTCGGACTCCAACTCGGACTCCATCTCGGGTCCATCTCAGACTCCACTTCGGACTCCAACTCGGATCCATCTCGAGTCCATCTCGGACACTTCCACGTGTCATGTGTTGGTCCTTTTGGGTCCCTTTTTGGAGCCTCGCTTATTGCTCGCTTCGTGCTCATTCCTCGAGCACTTCGTTAGGAGTTTCACTCCCGCTCTCAACCTTTCAAGTCGGAGCTTTTGGCCCAAACGTGTTACACTCGTTTGGCTTTCGCTTCGGCCACTACCACGTGGCACCCTTCCGGCTCAACTTTGGGGCCCAGGGGTTTTGTGTCTCACAAGATGCCCCTTCATGAAGATGATGCAATTATTGAAAGGCATTATCATAATTGTCGGTATGTCCAAATGCATAATTGAAAATGTCTGAGAGAATACTTTAATCTCTACGAGTGCCTACCCTCAAACCATTGTACCACTACAGTGTCGTCCCTTGGAGACACGTGGGAAACTCAAACAAATGTTGAGCATCATCCTAAGAATGATATACGGCAATCACCATGAAGTGATCAAACCAATAGTACACATCATCCCTAGAATTCCCATGAAAGAATTTTAGCTGAATGCGGGGATTAACACTAAGAACATGAAGAGTTATACCACATGTTGTGAATGCCACCATTAATTGAGTTTGGTTGTTCAACTGCAATTGCATAATATTGAACAATTGCACCAATTGTTGCTCTAGAGTCAAAAGAAAAAGAAATTATTACTTTGCTATAAAGATGAATAAAAAGGAAAGAGTAAAAGAAAAAGAAATGAAAAAAGCTAGAAAGAAAGGGAAATTTAGACATTGCAAAAGCTAGATATAAACCAAAATCTCGAAAGGAAATAACAAAAGAAAGGAAATAGAAAAAACTAGATTTAGATGATGCAAAAGCTCAAATCTAAACACTCCTAAAAGACAGCTTCGATACCAAATTGTAAGCCACAAATTTTTCCTTTCCAATTTGCCAGCTTACCTCGTCTATCCGTCTAACACCACCTTGGCTTTTGCTAAGTTCCCTTGCCAAGGTTCTCGCCTATGGTACCAGCTCCTACTTGGTCTCAGCTACTCACTGCACGAGCAACGGAGTGTTAGCCATCCATCCACGGATTCCCAAATCACTCCCAATCCCCCTCCCCGGGTTAGACTAAACTTAAGGTTCGGCTACACTCCCCACAAGCACAAGTAGCCAAGCACACCAAACTTCTAAGTTCCTAACATCCTTTGGTACCACAAGACTTGATCATGGGACCCTCTAAATCCCAAGTCTTGAGTGCAACACTTGCTTCGGGACGCCGGGGCGAAACACCGTGGCCTAGCGGCCCGGTATGGGTACCTCTCGCCCCCCACTTCCATCCCGAAGGAAGGCCCAAGCCCCTAGGAAGGGCGAGGACCAATGAGCCGCATGGTACTCAAGTGGGGCACCACTCCACATGAGCCGGGAGCACCGCAATCGGTTTCCCTTTCGGGAGTGGGAGCTACTCTTGAGCACTTCCTTGGATGGCCCCTCCGGCACCAACCAAGTCCATGCTCACTCCCACCCAAGGCCCCTCGGTCCCAGTCCAAACCTAAAGTCATTTGGGGACCCCCACGGGAGAGTCCCTTCTAAACTGGTTCCTGGACCTCACTATCCCTAAAAAATTTTGGGAACCCCGGGAAGCCCCCCCCCCCCCCCCCCTGGGAGACGCACGCTTTGGGCTTTCACCCCTTGACCCGTATTAGTATTTGGACTTAGTCTCTGGCTCGATCTCGGACCCGATTTCGGATCCGACTTCGGATTCGGTCTCGGACTCGATCTCGGACCCGATCTCGGACCCGATCTCGGACCCAACCTCGGACTCGACCTCGGACTCGATTTCGGATCTCGGACTCCGTCTCGAACTCGGTCTCGAACTCGGACTCGAACTCGGTCCCCGAGTCGGTCTCGGACTCGATTCCGGACTCTATCTCGAACTCGGTCCTAGAGTCGGTCTTGGACTCGATCTTCGACTTGGTCCCATCCGATGAACTCTTTGTCATTTTGGTCATGCTTTCGGGGTTCCTTTATCCTACGACACCTTGGCGAGTTGGTTCCTTACAACTCCACCACCCATAGAAGAAGTTCGATGCCCACATCGAATGTCTCGTTGTATCCTACGACTTGTTGACCATGTCTCCGATACCAAAAGTGTCAAAAATGCCTTTATTTCCATATGCATGAAATACGGAAAGGGAATATAAAAAATGTGCATATCAATTAGCCCAAAAACCCTCATTTATATACAAGAGTAAAAGGTTTAAATTGAAACTAATTCAACAGCTACCAAAATCCCACTACATTAATATTAATATACAACATCGTAGACATATAATTGAACCTTACAATATATGTTTATATTTATGATTTTTGAGATTAATATTATTTGAATAGAATGGAAAAGCAAAAGCATAAAATAAAATGCTTGATACAATGAAAGATAAGCAAAAGTGCAATACATTACTAGTAAAATTTCAGAGTGTTAACATTCATCTTAGTACCATTTGACCGAATTTTTTTTATCCAAATGCACAAAAACTGGAATTAATTACACTGTCTTTAAGTAGTATGATCAATTGATATTATCAGAAGCCATGAGTTACGCCACTCCAAAAGCTTGCTTTAGACTTGATCCGTGGAATCTGGAAGGGCGAACGGTCCATCTGGTAGGTCTCACATGACATTACAAAAATGGTGGGATTCGATGTTTGTACAAGCAAGGGTCATTCCTCGTTCTCAGTAGAGACATACATGTTGGAAACCACTAAATACGCTGCGCAGTTCCCCGGATCGAGATCAAGCAGCATCCTTGCCGCTCGTTCCCCTCTCACGAAATCCCCCAAAACTTTGGAGGCCGAGAGATAGCTCATCCAAACCACAGCCCCCGGATGGAAGGGCATGAACTCCAGCATCTCCTCCACGGATCCTATCCTCCCGGCTCGCCCGAGGCTATCGACGAGACAATCGTAGTGATCGCTCAGCGGATGGATCCCAAAATCGTCTTCCATCGACACGAACTTCTCGCGGGCTGTCTTGAGCAGGCCAGAGTGGCTGCAAGCCGAAAGAATGCTGAGGAGCGTGACCGAATTGGGAAGAACACCGTCGAGGATCATGGCGTGGAAGATCTCGAGCGCTTCCTCGCCCCAGCCATGGTGAGCAAATGCCGACACCATCGCTGTCCAGGAGATCACGTCTCTCCTCGCAGCCATGGAGAAAGCTTGCTTCGCCTCTTTGAGATTTCCACAGCGGCCATAGAAGCTGACGAGCGCGGAGCCTACGACGCTGGACGATCGATCGAAGCCCATCGCCATAGCTCGAGAATGGATCGCTCTTCCTCGCTTCCACTCCGATACCATTGCGCATGATTCCAGTGCCGCCGCGATCGCCATCTCGTTGATTCGTTGGCCTTCTTTCTCCTCCACGGAGAGCTCGTCAAACAGATCGATGGATTCTCTGGGAAACCCGTGCTGGGCATACGCTTGGATCATCGTCGACCACGACACATCCGTCCTCTTGCCCCTCTCGATCGAATCGAAAACCTCTCTCGCCCGATCCAGATCGCCACTCTCGCTATACAGCCTCACGATCGCGGTGGCCACCACAACGTGGTGCTGGAAACCTCGCTCAAAAACGAGCTCGATCACTTCCCGGCCCCGATCGAGGTCTCTCTCTCTCGCACACGCGTCAAGAACACTAATGCAAGTGATCTCATCCGGCGCGATTCCCTCGAGATCCATCTCGCCAAACAGCCGGATGCTCGACCGTCCATGCCCCCAATGGGCATTTGCAGTGATCATCGCGGTCCACGACACCACAGTCCCAGGAAGAAACTTTTGGAACAAGCGCAAGGCTTGATCGAATCTGCCGCACTTCGCGTACATGTTTACAAGGCTATTGGCGATCGTCTCCTCGGATTCTAGCCCCGACTCGATGATCCTGAAGTGGATCTCTCGTCCCAGGTTGCTGGATTGCTCGGTCTCGATCGAGCAAGCGTCCAGCGCTGCGAGAAAAGTCACCCTGTTGGGCTTGACGCCCTCGGGATCCATCGCGAAAAAAATCCCAAGCGCCTCCTTGGAATGCCCATTCTGGGCATATGCAGTGATGATCGAGTTCCACGAGATCACGCTCTTGTTTTCGATCCGATCGAATGCCTGCCGCGCGTGGATCACGCTCCGGCACCGCCCATACATGCCCACGATCGTATTCCCCACGATCGTCTGTGCCGCAAACTCGGTGGCGGCGATCCGGGCGTGGAGGGCCTTGGCGCGCCAGAGATCCCCCAGCTCGGAGCACGCGCCCGCGAGCGTCACAAACGTCACGTTGGACGCCTCGATCGAGTGGCGATCCATCTCCTGGAAGAGATCCAGCGCCTGCGCGCCGCGCCGGTTGTGGACGAGCGCGCCCAGCATGATGTTCCAGGAGAAGAGGTTCTTGCGCTGGATGCCATTGAACGCGAGGAGTGCGTCATCCACGCTACCGCATTTGCCATACATCTCCACCAAGAGGTTCCCATGATACCTCTCGCCGCCATAGCCACAGCTGTGAGCTTTGATCTGGGCGTGGATCCGGCGCCCCTCGTCAAGATCCCCGGCGGCAGCGCAGCGGCGGATGAGATTCGCGATGCCCTCGTTGTCGATTCGCGGCGATCCAATCTTGTCCAAGGCCAAGCTGGAAGATCTTCTGTGCATCAAACGCGTTTTATCTTCTTTAGATATTATGGTGGGTGGTGGTCAATCCAAAAATCCATACTATCTCCTACTAAGATAGAATTAAAGTCTCCTTCTAGTGACTTGCAAAGCTATCCACAAATCTCCATAGCTTGTAGCTATGGTGTTCTTGCTGCTTACTTACAAGCCCAATCTTCTCTTTCGTAGTCTCTCGGCGATGATGAAGGCCAGCTCCAGAGACTGCGAGGCGTTGAGCCGGGGGTCGCAGTGAGTGTGGTAGCGATCGGACAGGTTCTCCAGCAGCACAGATTTGCTCCCACCGATGCACTCGGTCACGTTCTGCCCGGTCATCTCCAGGTGCACGCCGCCGGGATGGCTTCCTTCCTGGTCGTGAACGTCGAAGAAAGCTTTCAGCTCGGCCTGGATGGACAAGAACAAAACGTTTTTAGTTCTCTGGAAACAAATGCTGGGAGCTGCGATCGATGTCAAGAGACTTACCCGGATCGAGTCGAAAGGACGGGTTTTCAATCCGCTCGGAGTTTTGATGGTGTTCCCGTGCATGGGATCGCTCACCCAAGTCACGATCTGGCCGGCCGTGCGAACAGCGCGAATGAGGTGCGGAAGTTTCATCCTCAGCTTCTCGGCTCCCATGCGGACAACGACAGTCAGCCTACCGGGCTTGTTTTGAGGATTCAGGATGTCGATGAGCTTGACCAGCTCGTTGGGGTCCATCTTGTCACTTACCTGCGAGTCAAAGAAGTCAGGTATTGGATACAAGGAAGAGATAGATAACGCGTACCTTAACACCAATGGGATTTGCTACTCCTCGGAGGAACTCAATGTGTGCTCCGTCGAGTTGTCGCGTGCGCTCTCCAATCCACAACATATGTGCCGAGCAGTCGTACCAGAGGCCGCTCGTCGAGTCCTGGCGAGTCAAGGCTTCCTCGTACGGTAGCAGTAAGCACTCGTGAGAGGTCCAAAACTCAGTCGACGTCATGATCGGGTGATCGATCGTAAGCCCGCAAGCTGACATGAATCCCAAAGCCTCGTCGACACGATTCGCAAGCTCCTTGTATCTGTTACATGCAGAAAGCACTCGTTCAACTTGTGCTGGAATTGACGAAAAAATATCAAACAGGACGACTTTTAAAGGCTACGAAACGGCAAGAGACTGCCAAGTGAGTCCAAGCTTCGCGACTGGACGTTCCAGCCACCTGCAACACGGATCTTCACTTTTTCGACCCCTCACAATAAATTTACAATCAAGCCAGACAAAAACAAAAGCCTGAGAACTGGAAATGACCACGAAAGCAAGCAAACGAGCACTCGACAAATCAACCAAAGGTAAAAAGTCCAAAATGGACGCAAGGATGTTTTCCCGTACCTTCCACCTTGTTCACTGTCGGAGGTGAAATCCAGGTTCCACTGAGTGACTCTTTGCATGGCGGCATAACCTCCCGTGGCAAAAGATCGCAGCAAGTTGAGAGTAGCAGCAGCTTGGCAGTAGGCTCGAGTCATCCTCTCCGGATTGGGGGTCCTCGACTTCGTATCAAACGCGTCACCGTTGATGTTGTCTCCACGGTAGCATGGGAGCCGGATACCATCTTTCTCTTCAAAGTCGCTAGATCGCGGCTTTGCGAACTGGCCGGCCATTCTTCCCACCTGAAATGAAAGTCGTTTCAGAGATCTATCTTCCAGGAAGAGAAAAAGAGAGAAACTCGAGAGCAACGTACCTTGATAACAGGCATTTGTCCACCAAACATAAGAACGGCTCCCATCTGGAGGATCACCCGGAAAGTATCCCTGATGTTGTTGGCATTGAATTCCTTGAAGCTCTCAGCGCAGTCACCGCCCTGGAGCAAGAACGCTCTTCCAAGAGCCGCCTCACCGAGCTTCTCCTCGAGGGACCTCGCCTCTCCAGCAAAGACCAGGGGTGGGAAATTCTCGAGCGTCTTGATCACCACCTCCAGCTCCTCCTGGCTGGGATAAGTCGGCAGCTGCAAGGCCTTCTTGGTCTTCCAGCTATCCTTGCTCCACCCCTTGGGGATCGGGGCTGCCACCGCCGGCGCCTCGGTAATCGGCTCCACGGCGTGCACAGCCTGGATTTTCAATCCAGCTCGCCTAGATCTGCCGGCATAGCTGATGCCAGAGGACGATCCAACCAGGAGCTGCGTCTTCTTGTTCTCCAATTGCGGGAGAACGGCGGATGGGAGAACGGCCTTGGAGATAATCGCCATGCCTGCACAGAATCCCAAACTTTTCAGGACCGCCTCGAGCTAGAGAATCAATGCAGGATCCAGCGCCAAAGCTGAGATCGATCGAATCGAAATGTGTGCCAGAATGTGCGCAGTCACTCACCGGTCGATTGATTGCTTGCTCGCGCCTGTGAATCTGCCTCGCGCTTCCCTAGCTATGTCTTCTTCTAGCGATCGCTCTCCCAAGCCCTATCTACCGCTCCGCCCCAGTGATGGAGCGATGGGAAATATTTATAGGGTTCTTGGAATTCCCAGTCGTCACAGCAAGGGCATGTATAACGTGGACGCCATGGCCCATTTCGCCCGCTCTCTCTTGCGCAGTCTTTCAGGGCCAAAGGCGACGGCTCCGTTTCGTTGACGGAGACCCCCCGACGGAGCTCCGTTTTCTTGACCGACTCTGTACGGTCAACTTTAGTTTGCTGGTTTCACCGGCGCGTCAGAGGAGAATTTTTAAATTGTGCGCACGTTTTTCATGACGTAAGTGGCAGAGACCCTCGTTTGATCCGTTTTTACCGTGATTATCTTGGGTTTTGATTCACAGGTCATCGTCACCAACCTGTCCTTGTGATGTAATAGAAAAGGTTTACAAAGAGACGTCCGTCCGTACGGCACCACTGGAATGGTAGGTGAGTTGTTGCGCTAGAGGATCTTCGAATATGGCCCGAATCTTTTAGCATCCAGCCAGCTCTGTTGCGTACGAACTTGCCTTTTCAGTGACATTAGAAAAATGGTGGCGTTTGCGTTTGATTCCAAGCATTGCAAACAAATGTGGAATTGCAGCACTGAGGCCGCCGCCCAGTTGATTCGATCATGCGAAACTATCACAATGGCCAGGAAGCTACACGCGTGGCTTCGGGACACGTGTCATGAATCCGACGGCCCCTACATCTGGAACCTCGTCGTGCAGATGTACGGCTCTTGTGGCGGCCCCGTCGATGCCAGGATCGCGTTTGACGGCATCCGGCACAAGAACATCTTTTCGTGGGTGATGATGCTCACAGCATATGCCCGAAATGGGCATTTGCGGGAATCGAAAGGAATCTTTGATGCGATGCCAGCATGGAATTTTGTAGCATTTACAACAATGCTCTCTGCTTTTTCCAGAAACGGGAATCTAGACGACGCCAAACGCTTGTTTGATTCTTTAGAGGAAACCAATCTTGTAGTGTGGAATGTGATTCTCACCGCACATTGCCGTGACGGGAATCTGGAGGATGCAGTGGGGATATTCCGACGAATGCCGGCGCTAGATATTCTGTCGTGGACGTCGTTGCTGGCGGCATTTGCCCAGAGAGGGCAATCGCAGGAGTGTCACCGTTTGTTTCACTCGATGCCCGAGTGGGATCTTGTCGCTTGGACGGCTGTAATTAGTGCTTGCTCTAATGTCAATGAGTCTAAAAGAATGCTTAATAGCATGCCAGTCACAAATCTTTCCTCTTTAAATGCAATGCTCGCAGCATATGCCTTACATGGGAATATAGAACAGGCAAAGAATCTCTTCGACAAAATGCCCGAACATAACGCTCTCTCTTGGAATATCGTACTAGCCATGTATGCGCAGCATGGGTATTTTAGAAAATCAAAGAAAGTTTTTGATGAGCTAAAAGATGCTGACCTGATCTCGTTCAATACCATGCTCTTGGCATACACCCAAGCAGGGGATATTCAGAAGGCAAAGAAGTTTTACGACTCAATGCAGTATCACAGCATGGTATCCGTGAACACTTTGCTTTCCGCATATGCCCAACATGGTTTCATAGACGAGGCCCAAGTGTTGTTTGATTCGGCGCCTGAAAAAAGTTCTGTGTCATGGAACTCTATTTTGCTAGCATATGCCCTGGCTGGGCAGCACGAAAGAGTCGAACGAATCTTCGAATCAATGCCAGAAACCAACATTGTCTTGTGTAATGTTTTCCTTGCGGCTTATGCACGCGTCGGAAAAATCGAGAAATGTCGCCAAGTTTTTGATGGAATGAACTACACGAATCTATTCGCGTGGAACACACTGCTCGCAGCATATACCCAACTTGGGCACAACGATGAATCTAAGCAAATTTTTTATGCCATGCCCGAGCACAACCTGGTATCACTAAATGCCTTCCTTTTGGGCCGGTCTGTGTGGGAGACACAAAGAATGTTCTCCTGGATGCCACAGAGAGACATGGTGGCGTGGAACACCATGCTGCAGGCATATACCCAGCACGGGCATATGCGGCCGGCCCGGAAATTATTCTCCGTGATGCCCGACCGGAATCTGGTCTCGTGGAACGCCATGCTGGCCGGATATTCCCAGAACAAGCTCTCGCGCGAGATTAAAAGCGTCTTCCACGCCATGGTGATGGGCGACATTTTCCCGAACGAGATCTCCATGCTGTCCATGATTTGTGCTACGAGCCACTCGGGCGAGGTGAGCTCCGGCCTGGGATGCTTCCGCTCGATGATCGTGGATTTTGGGCTGGAACCATCCAAGCGGCACTTTTGCTGCGTTGTTGATATGCTTGGACGAGCTGGACACTTGGAAGGCGCTCACAGTCTCGTTCAATCCATGCCTTTTGCTCCCGATTCTTTCGAGTGGACGAGCCTGCTTGGAGCTTACCACAGCTCCACCACTCGAGAAAGGATTACTGCCCAGGAAGTTCTCGATTTGGAGCAACTGGATGGAGCTGGCTATGTGTTGCTCGCAAACACTGGTCTTAACGTAGGAGCTCATTGACAGTAGGAATCTTTTTTTTGTCTGCTTGAACAAAAAAACGATACGAATTAATTGGAAAGAACAAATAAAACAATAGATAGAACCGTCTTTCTCTCGGCTTATTGTGATCATCATCATCATCTCGTCATCATCATCGACTGCACCTCAACTTTCTTCTACGTTGCCTAAACCGCATGATGATACACATCCGTCTCTGCTCGCCTGAGACAGTTTTATCTTAGAGCGAAGGAAAAAAAAAATCAAAATGGAGTAGCATACCTCTCTCAATTTATGGACGCGGGCTCGCGAGTAGTTGTATCTACATCACTCCCTCCCGATTCCGGCGAAGGCGAACCGTTTTCGATCGTAGCTTCCACTGGTTCATCTTTAGCTGGAGGTGCTGGCTTGGTCTCGCTAGTCGGTGGCGTCGCAGGGGTCACGGGAACATAGCGTCCTTCAATAAAACCTTTGTCGTTGAGCCCACTCACAAACCGGTACGTCACCTGAAGAGCAAAAAAGTCTTCTCAGAAAACAAAAAAAAAAAAAAGGAAAATAAAAGAGGACAACAAATCCACTAGCATGCCTAGCTGACTGCCGACTCGTTTGGAAAACTCTTGCTAACTTGTCTTAAGACTCTTGGACGACGATGACGTGACTTGTTCATCCTGTCCACTCTAAAACCGAAAAATGCAGCCGTGAACTCTCATGCAACTCTTTTACCGCTCGTTTTAAGACTTGGTTTTAAGTTACGTTGCATGTAGCTCGGAAGAAGGCTTACCTCGCGAGTGCCAACCTTGGAAGTTTCAGATAAAGCCGCAGTCATAGCCGAGAGTTTTCCTTCCAGTAGCTTGCCCTTCAAATCCTCTTGGACCATTGGAGTGAATTGCTTGTCGAGTGATCGAGCAGCACCCAGCCAGGCTAACACAATAACCAAGAGGATGGCGCCAAGGTACGGAGTTGAACTGGCAAGGGACCCGAACGACAAGATCAGAACCTGCTGAATGAGAGCACCTCCTGATTTTCCTAACGGATTGCATACAACGTCAATAGCGGCCTTTCCTTTCACCTGAAGTACAACAAACAAAAATAAACGACAGAGCAGCATACATTCATAGATTTACCTTTGTATCTTCGTCCAAGGGAATGTAAGCCATTTCCTTGCACGGGTCGAACAAGCTGTACTTGGCACTTTTACTGAATATGTTTTGCAAAGCTCCAACGTAAACAGCTGCCATCAGTGGAGTCAACCCAATACCTCCGAGGAATGGAGTTAGTGGATCGCTGAAGAGAACCAGCGAGAAGAATGCCACTCCAGTTACAAGAAGAACACTTGGTGTAATGGCAGCTGCAACTCCCCATCCATATTTACGGAAAATTACCCTGCTCAGCAACATCATACTGAATGTGACAACTCCGGTCCACGTCGAAAAGTCTCCCATGAACGACGAGTAGTCGTTGGGACTTGGAAACTGCGTTAACAAACACAGGCGTTGTTGCAGCCAGTATCACCGAAAGAAGACTATCGTTACCTGAGCTTTGAGCTTCGACTTCCATGTAACTTCGACGAGGTTAATACTGATTCCATAAGCAACCACCAGGGTTGCAAGGTCCCGGATGTATCTCGAGTTCAACAAGAACTTCGCACTTTCGCCCATGCTCATCTTAGGCTTGCTCTTCTGGAGATGCTCAAAAGAGTTAGTAAATGGTTTTAAGAAAAACTTAAAAGATGACTGACCTTTTTCTTCTTCTCAATCTTGGGAAGGTTGGGATCGTTGACAACAAAAGCATTAACCCACCAATATATGCCACAGATGGCAAAACCAAGCATTACAACAATGCTCATCATTCCTTTCAGAGACATTCCCCAGCCATCAACGCCAGGTCCCAGCCGTCCTCTTAATTCGGAGAAGTACTTAACAGTTCGTCCCGAGAAAACAAGCGCTACGTTGGCTCCCAAGCCAAACAAGGGATAGAACTGCTTTGCTTCATCCACAGTGGTGATCTGAAAGAGAAGACACAAGTTTAAGAACAAACAACACAACGTAAGCAAGTAAGTACCTGGTTCGCAAATCCCCAGAAGAGAACCGATACGACGACACTCCCCCATAACTCGGCCATGACGTAGAACAGCACAAACGTCCAGTTGCGAAAGATGGCAATCGGGCCCAGGAACCGGGGGCCGAGAACCGAGAGAAGATGGTCCGCTAGAGCAGTCGGGTGGAGGATGTCACGCAAAGGATATAGCAAGAACGCAAAACTCCCGAAAAACCCAATGAAGGGGAGAATGCAAGCGTAGAAGAGAGCCTCCCTGGACAGTACGTTGGAAAGCTTGGTGTAGATGACCATGAAGCCGATAGCCATGGGGAGATTCACCCAAGTCTTGAGGAAAGGAATAATCTCAGCACTGCTTCCTTTGGCCGTCACCACCAAAACGTCCTTGGTGTCTCGCAGGATCGTGTAGTTGAAGAGAATACAGAAGAACATGAGACCCAGAGGTATCACCTTCTTGAGCGTCACAGTGTCGACCCCAAAGAACTTCTTCTTGGCTGGAATTCCGTCGCCGAGAGGCGAAGAAACGCCCACCGATGCCGCCTCGGCACGCACGACCGGACGAATCCTCCTCCGGACTACAGATTTCTCGATGGGAGCGAGCCTTTCTGCTACGAACGTGCTGTGGAGCAAAGATTTGCCGCTCGACGACGACGAGATTGCTGCCCCGGCCGGGTTGAAAGAACACCGGACTGTGGCGGATTTCGATGGAGCGACCTTGTTCTTGGAGCAATCCAGCGCAGAGCCGCCCCATGGCGCCGATGTCGCCGCCATGCCACTGCTGGCCAGCATTGCGGAGTGTCGAGATTTCGGCCTGGATCGAGAAACCAAGAACAATCCGGGGTCAGATTCGAGCCATGCAATTCCAATGCATCCCAGCAACAACCATTCCAAGGGAGAAACAATCCATCCAAGAACAAGACAAGCGCCAGTGCCATCGCGCATTACCTCGAGACAATCCTCCGGGGAATCGGAATTTCTACGTCCTCGCACACGCCGCCAAGGCGCCGAGCGCTCCTCCGCCTCTCATGAATCAATCCACTGGACAGAGAAAACTGGCATAACCTAATGCAACCCTTTCTCCACAGGCAAAATAAAAAAAAATCTTTTTCCCCTTGTTTCTACCACGAGCTAAGCATTTACCTTTAAGTTACTGTGTGTAGCATGCATTCACGGGTTGTTAGAAGCTCTTCTCTCGGCCATAGCCTCGCAAGGATGGAGGGGAATATTACTCTCCTTATTTGTCACTCTCTTGCTCACTGAGTGATGGACGAAAATAATGCAATGGTGGGTAGATTGGCCACTGTAGTGAAATTTTTTTTATTGGACTGACTATATTGGGCTTGAAACCTTAGGTGAAATTTCACATTGTTATGCCACTGTACAAATCGAGAGGGTGATAGTTTTGGCAAGGGTTTGTAAACAATATCCTTATTCCATGGGTTTTGGATGCGTTCTCTTAACACATGTCTATCTCGCAGATGCGTCCACGTATGTGAGATGGACCTTTTCCCGTGATATTTCTTTGGCCCCGCGGGGGAATATGCCCGCAAAGTGGACAGATATTTAATTGCGAGCATGGAAAGCATGGGGAAGGAGAATATGCTACCATTCGCGGGAGGAGTCAAATCGTTTTAGTTCCAAGAGAGAGTTCCAGGAGAGTCAAGCTCGTTGACCGGATCAACGCCGGACAACTTTTATCCCTTTTATATCAAGGGGACGGATACGTACAATTCCCGAAACCTGAAAATACAAAGTTTTCCCAATCGGTTTTAATAGAATCTCGTTTCCCCTCACTTACTTGGATCTGCGGTGGTGAGGATTCCAATCCCGGAGAAATTACAGTTCCACGAGTTCTTGCCATATCCCTGGTAGTACAGGTTCATCGCAAAGGATGAGTGAGAGTGGAGATTGACTGGCGAGTAGCAGCCATTGCCCGGCTGGATTTGGAGGCAGTTGACCATGGGCTGACCACATGCGTAGTCCAAGGCCTTTTGAAGAGCCTCGTCCGGAGAGTCAGGCTTGGCAATACACCAAGTTCTCTCGTCCAATGCCACAGCTAAAAACACATAGCCACAAGGACACAAAATCTTAAGCCATGATGCTTTCGCTTGTGACAAACAACCTAAGAAGGTAAGAATTGCGAACAAAAGTATGAGAAGAACTTGCCCCTTGTTTGCCTCCATTTTCCTAGGAATGTGTTGCTAAATGCGGTTGTAGCTTTAGTTGAGAAAAGGTCTTCTCTTATCCAGGATGCTCCAAGCACGCGGAGCTACAGTTCGGAGGGTCAAACGGTCAACTCTGAAAGTTCAAATGTTTTCTTCTGTATGGATTAGAAATTTAACCACCAGTAAAGTTGAGCAAGCATGACAGCAGTGGGAATGAGTAAAATTTTGTACCAATTAGACTCGGTTGTCCTACCTCAAACATAATCATAATTTTGAAACAAATTGCAAGACATAATGATATCAATATTTTTATTTCATTATCATTTAGAGAAAAATGAATACAGTCATTTCCATGTATGAAAATAGCAGACTTAGATTGTACTCATTCCAATTACCAGACCAGCATTCTAATAATAGCATGCTTATATTTAAAACAATATTGTCCTCATTGATTTTCAGGACTTGAGCAACAACTAGCTATGAACAAGGAATTTAAATTAGTTCAGAATTTACCAAGTGTGAGGATAAAATGAATTATCAATATTTGTACTGTTATTCTTATGTATGCAACCTTAATATCTCTGTATCATAGACTTTTTGGTTTGTTTAAGCAAACTAGTGGATATACTTAAAATATATTTGAATATTTGAGAATATTCTACTATCTAACTGCTGTTATTAATTTAAATTATTCTTATATTTTAAAAATATAAATATGCTTATAATTTATAAATTTTTGTAAAAACTTTCTAGTATATTCTAGTATATTCTTTAATCTTGTGTTTTAAAATTATAAACATTGATGAATTTGATTAGTAAGTAAAAAGAACTACTGTTAAGCAAACCAAGTGCAATGCACAGGGAATTATTTTCTAATTACGTTTTATTAATTTTGATAAATACAAAGTAATTATTTAAAAATTTAAATACTGAATAAGATTTTTTAAACTTTTATACTGAATAAAAGATTAAATCTAAGTATTTTAAAATCATATGTGTCAAGATGGGAGCATGATTAGTTTGTCCAGCAGAGCATCAATTAGTGTTGTTGAGTGTTATCTGTGTAAGTGACTAATTTTTCCATTTTACTTTAGTCACTTAACCGCACCTTCGACCACTTGGAAGAGTCTCACTCACAATCTCCATAAGTCTTATTTTGGACTTGGGCTTACTAGCCCCGAAAATAGCATCCTTGCCACTCAACCTATGCACTTGGTCCAAGTGCTTCACGTGTTTGATCCCATGACCGACACCCCAAGGTACCACCAATATATCAGCCCGTTATGCTAAGGCCATGCCCCTTTACCTTGGTCACACCGATGGTCTGACACCACCTACATCCTAGTCCCGTCACTCAAAGACTGGGCCATCCATCCATGAGTGATCAACCCAGATCCACTCCTTAGCATCCTTAGGATGCCCGCAGACATGGGGATTAGCCTTCCCCAACATCTCCGTTCCAGTCCCCACCAAGTCCCTTTCCGTCCTTGGCCGTGTTCGCCGACACTGCCACTGGATCAAGGCCCACAGGCCCGACCACTAAGTCCCACTATCCTCTAGGACTTCCTCCTTGTGTGATTGTGTCCTTGGTCACCACACCTGAGGGCTACTCCTCTTCCTTTCCACAGTCTGGGACTTTGGGACGACATTTCGGAACACCGTGGCTCTACGTGGGCCTCGTGGGTACTCTCCCTGCCTTTCGCCTTTAGGTGCTCTAGCCATGGGCTTAGAGCAAGGTTCCATTGAGCCACACCAGATATCCAAGTAGGTAGTGCCACCCACACTTGGACTGGGAGCATCGGCCAGACGATCTCCCGGGGGAACTAAAGCCGGCTCTTGAGCACTTCACCAAGCTACCCCGCTTGTCAGTCCGTATTCACTCTAGTCTTGGACTTCCCAGTGGTCAGTTCATCACCCAACACTGGGTTTGGCTTTCCTGGGCCAACTTGGCCTTTCCTGGCCAAACTGGCTCCACTGCAGTCCTCCCCCTACTATACTTTTGGAGCTCACCAAACCCCCCAGGGTCTAGGAGACGAACGCTTTGGGCTTTCACCCTCTCAGACTCGAACTCGAACTCGGACTCGGACCCAGACTCGGCCTCGGTCTTGGTCTCGGTCCCGATCTCAGTCTCGGTCTCAGTCTCGGTCTCGGTCTCGACCTCGGACTCCATCTCGGGTCCTTCTCGGACTCCATCTCGGATTCCATCTCGGGTCCATCTCAGACTCCATCTCGGACTCTATCTCGAACTCCGTCTCGGTCCATCTCGGACTCCGTCTCGGTCCATCTTGGACTCCATCTCGGACTCCATCTCGGACTCCGTCTCGGTCCATCTCGGACTCCATCTCGGACTCTGTCTCGGTCCACCTCAGACTCCATCTCGGACTCCGTCTCGGTCCACCTCGGACTCCATCTCGGACTCCGTCTCGGTCCACCTCGGACTCCATCTCGGACTCCGTCTCGGTCCACCTCGGACTCCTCCCACATGTCATGTGTTGGTCCTTTTTGGGTCCCTTTTTGGAGCCTTGCTTATTGCTCGCTTCATGCTCATTCCTTGAGCACTCCGTTGGGAGTTCCACTCCCGCTCTCAACCTCTCAAGTCGGAGCCTTTTAGTCCAAACGTGTTATGCTCATTTGGCTTTTGCTTCGGCCACTACCACGTGGCACCCTTTCGGCTCCACTCTGGGGCCTAGGGATTTTGTGTCTCACAACTCTACCACCCATAGACGAAGTTCGATGTCCTCATTGAATAGTAAACCCTCTTATAAAGTAACCCCCACATGTATTACTAGTTCCATCCTTGGCACCCAGCCAACATTTGTCTATGGTTTGACACCAAAGGCACACCATGCCTTGTCCATCCTCTAACGAGCATCGTCTCTCAAATATAGAGACTCATTCGACCACCTGGGGTGGTTTGCTCCCTTTTATTGATTTAGTTCTTGCTAAACCCATTAGAGACTCCTTCTTTAACTCAATTCCACTACTCATTCTTGAGTAGTCTTAAATTCCATTGACATAATCTTGCACTTTGGAACTTTTAGTTTTGACTTCTCAGAGTCAATTTCCTAGGTGTCTCCGACACCTTACATTGCACATGGTGCAACTCCACTTCCCTATCCTAGGAAGTTCTTTACTTGAGGATACCATCATCCTCTCTCCAATATCGTGCCACCTTTGACACTAAGTTTTAGTTATCATAATTGGTGCTAAGGCTGCCCACGGCCCTATTATTTGGCTACCTTACCGCTCCCCCTTTTGGAGCATCCACTTCGCCAAATCGGAGCAGTTGGGAATCCACCCTTAGGGAAACTTTGCCTTTCCCACAATCCGTTAGCACCCAACACATTAGTGTTCTTGGCCTAACTTTGCCATTTGGATTCTTTCCTAGGATTCCCATGGCTCTTTTCTTAGCCACTAATCTTTTGCTCCTATCCTTGATTGTTGCACCCAGCAACATAGGATCGCTACCTCCATTTTCGAGGTTTCCTTTCAGTTCCATAGCAAACACTTTGCTTTGCCAAATCCAGAGGGTGTTCACCCCTAGTACATCTCTTTAACATTTTCTACTGTGGGCTCTATCCACGGCCCAACTTTTGAGACCCTTTCTTGGATCCCTTATAGAGACTACATTCCTCGGACTTACTATGCCACAGCATTGACATAGCTCATTTCCCTTTAGGTGTTCTTCCCACTTTGTCACCTTAACCAAGCCACACCATTATCAATAGTTCAAATCAACACTTTGAACTAGGAATCATATTCCTTAACCCAAACAAAGACCTTGTCCTTGTTTAGCCACAAGATCACCTGGTGATCTCATCTTGACCCCTTAATAGGTCTACCAATAGGAACTAGGTCTTCCAGACCCCTCTATATTGTTGACTATGACCCCGGGGGCATCCCCCACACTTGGCGGTGCGCCCAAGCCAGCCCTTCCAGCCAAGGATCTATAGCAAATGAGACTGGGTGTCCCCATCTCATTCACCACGTCCTTGGTGCCTTTTGCACCAAAGTGTTCAAGTTAGATATGTCGAGCTCTCACTCTAAGCAATCTAACCGTGCATCACGACTCCGAGGCATCCCTTGCTTGGCGGTGTTCCCAAACCAATCTCCTCACTGAGAGTCCATGACCACCGAAATATGAGTGTCCTCATATTCCAAACCATCACCATGCCCTAGTGATCTAGGACTCGAACCCAAGCACTAGAGGGTCGGGACTCGAACCCAACCTCCGTATATGCATCTACGGACGGCATCACACTGGATGCCTGGCGTGACTCCCCACGCCGGTGCACCAACTTATATTTAAAGCGCGCTACAGATCACAGCTTAGGAACCTAGTCCCTCCTTACTGCCAAGTCTTCTCGCTTGACAAGTCTGTGATCATGCATGGACTCCTCCATGCTCAGCCCCATGGCCCACCCTTTTGAAATTATCACCTTCAACTAGGGCATTTGTTCCCCCGACTTGCCAATCTCGCTTGGCAAGTCCTCCGACCACTGTAACATGGTTCTTGCATAAGCGTGAAAGTTCTTGGCCATCGACTTTCGTTCAAAGCCCTCTCTTTGAACACTCGGGAACTACTTCCCCAACCTTGATAGCTTTGCCTCATGGCAAGCTTCAAGACCACGCTTCTACTGTGCCACTCTGATTTCACGCATTTCATGAACCATTTACATTTGGCCTTTCTAGGTACTAAGCTACCTAGAATCGTCTTTGGGAACCTTGAAGGAACTCTGTCCCTTAGCTTGCTAAGGCCTCCTTTTTCGCAAACTTTATAGTTGCCATATAGTCTAACATGGACAATTCCATATTTTAGACTCTCCATGGCATCATGGTTGCTAGCAACAACATCCTCGAGCACCCTCTTGATTCTCCACTCCCAACTTGCATAACCACCGTTGGATATGCCCTTCGATTTCTATGGTTCAGTTCCATCCCAATACTACTTGCCTTTTGGCCCCATATGTTTCCTTTGGTTATTCTCCTCCAGACTAGGAGGATAGCTTTGCACATTT